AGTATTAGCCAGTGCGTCCTGAATTTCAGTTTTTCAGTTTAATTTTTCAGGACAAATATCCTGAGTTGTCCTGAAGTTAAGAATTTTAGTTTAAATCTCGAGATAAAAATAAGTACTATCTAATCTTTAAATAGCATCCCTGAGAATGGCTATATGTGCACTTGCCCCAAAAAGAAATACTGTAATAGTAATAAAGTAAAAGTCAGCCGAGTATTTCTTCTTTTTACGCATAGGAAGAGTAAAGCAAGAAGAATTGATCGATCTAATTTTCCTCTTCTCTTGTTATAGTTACTATAGTTAATATAAAATGTGGACTTCAGAGCCAAAAATATGACCTCCACTAGGGCAGATAACGTTATGTACAAAGTACAAAATTATATAATAAAAAGGCGAAATACATAAACAGCCCCTTTAAGTTGTCCACAACGGTCAAACAGCCACTTCAACAGACTCGTTTATCATTTAGACACTTCAAGTGATTATTAAGTGCATCAAAGAAACATATGTTGCTGATGTGGCATATACGTGTTTGCTAACAAAATTTTAAGCGCGTGAAGTCGTTTTCTGCCTAATTTTGTTTTCTTAAAAAAATCAAAAACCTCATAGCAGCTAACTGAACTAAGTCCACCATGAAACCACCGTAGAGTTAAGGAAATCAGCCATTAAAGCTCGAACTAAACCAGCGTAAACCATCAGAAACTGCCATATTTCACCATAAAACTCTACTGCTTGTAACCTTCAGAGCTTCGCCTAGTTTCGTTGACTCAAAATCAGTCCCAGACATAGCTGAAAGAAACAGCAAAAATGCAGCAACAAGAGCAAACCACCAAAAAAAATTCTCAGTAGTCCTGTCACCCTCATCTCCACCATAAGAACATAATTTTGTCCCTCTTTCGTCTTCATCGGCAAATAATTTTAAGGTCAATTTAATACCAAAAATAACAAACTAGAGAAAAAAAGTGATGTAAGCTCATTCATAATCAAGAAAATAATGGAGAGAGAGAAGAGTGAAGAGTGAAGATTCCAGTAGAATCGATTTTTAACTTTGCTTGAAGAACAAATTTTCCGGCGATACAGGTCGCATAAAAGGAGCTTTTCCGGCGAGGTCCGTTAATAATCACTTACTGGGTTCTCTATTTGGCTATTCTCAGATTGTTTTATGTTAATATGTTGGGTGGATTTGTGAAAAGGAAATGGGGATTGAATGAGAGAAGAAGAAGAAGATGAAAGGGAAAGGGGGGGGGGGGTAGGAAGGTGGCGTTGGTTTTGATAAAAGTAAAGAAAAAGGGTTTCTTTTTATGTATTTTCATTTTTGTTAATTTTTTATTACAAATTACACGTGTTATTTTTTAATTTGCTCATTTGACACATCACTGGCAAACGTAACTCACGCATATTGTCTTCTGCACTCGGGGGTTTATTTGATACACTTAATAATCACTTGAACTTGAAGTGTCTAAATGATAAATGTGTCTGTTGAAGTGGTTGTTTGACCGTTGTGGACAACTTAGAGGGGCTATTTATGTATTTCGCCTAATAAAAACATAAATGTATGGGCACAATAGTACAACAGGCGTATAGAGAACAAAATAGGGTAGCAGATCAATTAGCAAAAGCAGGCAGCAGTTTTGGAAGCAACTCTATGATACGAGTTTTTGAGGCAACACCAGTTTTTGTTGAAAAAGTTTTTGAAGCTGACAAGCAAGGCCAAGGGGTAACGACTGCACGCTCAATATCTACAACGGAATGCACAATAGAAGATCAAAATACTGTTTCGATCTGGAGGAATAGCAATGCATTTCACAATGGAAACCCTGCTGCAGATCAACCATTATCAACTTTAGTATGTTGTTGTGATGATAGTTCCGTTAGGAATACCACAAATAACTTAGATATTACTAATAATAGTTTAGTTTGTAATATGGTGCAACCTGCGCACCTCTCTCTCTGTACGCCTATGCTTTAATTAATGCAAATTATCTTTTGAACCAAAAAAAAACCTTAGTTTATTCTATTTCGACTCAGTCCATCTTAGCCTGATTAAATTTTGGACAGACATAATTATAATTCGTTAATTGACTTATCTTATTTCTAACCATTCAAACTTGATTTAATCCGCCCATTTGTAATGTAATTGTCACCACGATGCATTTTTTATTTTCATATTTTTCTTTACAGATAGAAAGCGGATAACATTGCTCAATTCTGCCATAGTAAAGCGAGATTTAAAATTTAATAAATTGAAGTCACTTTCAATCGGTCTTTTCGCAATGGGGTCAGAGGTTAAACAATTAACGTTATTGTTTTATAATAGTCTGTCCACCTAAAAGAGAAATTAATTGATAATTAAAATATATGCAGTACATTAACTGTTAGAATTTAAATCTATCTTCGTCTGATCAGAAGTAAACAAGAGATTAAAGAGCACGTGACGTTTCTGAAACACTTAACACAATGGCGTTTCAAGCAATTTTTTTAAAATAATCAAACAATCGCTAAAAAATAATTACACACGGCTTAAAATTCGATGGATAATAAACAAATCGCCCTACAAGTTTTTATTTAAATACCAAGCTTTTGTTTCCCAATATGATCGAACTCGTGACATGCAAAGCATAAATCAAAGTACACGATCCAACTGATCTTTCACACAAAAAAAATTTGATATATCTTATTTTGCAGATTTAAAGGTGCGCCGATCTAAACAAAATAAAGGACAATATCACAAATTTTCTATTATCTACCCGATTAATAACGAACAAAGATCACTTTTAATCCCGGTCGAAATTATTAACTTTCAATAACTCTCTCTATATATATAACTATTATTTTGAGAGCGACCATGCAATGCCATTTTCTCGTTAATAACAGCACGTATAACCATTTCCCTTGGTATTTTTCTTTTTTGCTCACACATGTCGGGGTGCAACTCACTTGATTACATGTGAAAAAGTTTCTATACGTTCAAGTTCAGATGCCCCACAAAAATATTTGTCTCAATTAATCTCCCCCCCCCCCCCCAGATTTTACTGAATTAAGAACACTTAATTAGAGACAAACGAATATTCCTCTTGTCCCAAGATAATATCCTATGAATTAATTCAACTCCATTTTTTTAAATCCAAAAATTTGTTGACATAAGGTTCAAAATAACTTTATGCCACATATAAAAATAACTCTACACAAGTGTAGTTTTTTATGACTCGGCCTCATAAATCCTTTCTTTTATTATTTATAAATAGAGCCGTGTAGGTTTTCATGGCTCGAGCTATGAATCCTTTCTTTCATTTATCAATAGAGCCCTAATCGACTACATTTGTAACCCGAAAATGACACGTGGAAGTCAGAAAAAAGAAAGTAGAAATGATACCAGGTAGCCACTCTAAAGATCTGCTATTTAAGAATTAGCCAGTGCGTCCTGGATTTCAGTTTTTTAGTTTAATTTTTCATGACAAAAATGTCCTGAGTTGTCCTGAAGTTAAGAATTCTAGTTCAAATCTCGGGACAAAAATAAATACTGACTAATCTTTAAATACAATCCCTGAAAATGGCTATATGTGCACTTGCCCCAAAAAGAAATAACAGTAACAAAGTAAAAGTCAGCCGAGCCTTTCTTCTTTTTACGCCTAGGAAGAGTAAAGCAAGAAGAATTGATCGATCTAATTTTCCTCTTCTCTTGTTATAGTTACTATAGTTAATCTAAAATGTGGACTTTAGAGCCAAATATGACCTCAACTAGGGCAGATAACGTTATGTACAAAGTACAAAACTATATAATAAAACATAAATGTACGGGGCACGTGATTTCGTGGAAGAACTCAAATTTCTATGATTACTTATCTATTATCTAGGACTAAACACCATATAAAATCAAGAGACAAAGAAACAGGAATATCTACCCTGAGGATCTCCACCAACTCCAATTGAGGGTCCCAAAATAATAGAAATTAGGAAATAAAAGAACATCAATTCAATCACTTTATGATATATCAATTTAATAAACAAATCCTGCTTAGACTCTTTAATGTTAGTGAGAAGACAAAATTATTCTAGTAGTTATTTAGGGGCAAAAGGATCAAAATTTGGGTGCACATGTACATAATAGATTAAATGGAAAGCATGCCAAAACAGAAGGGGGCATCAATACCCATAAAAACAAAAGGGCAAAGACACATTTAAGTATGAATAAGGCTATATAGGATTTGAAAGTGAAAGTGGAGGGGGGGGGGGGGGGGGGGGGGAGGGGTACCCCCTCTCTGATACCATTCAAATTTTGTGCCAGTAGCCATGTGATAGTATGGCCCTTCAACCCTCATGTCCAACTAAGAGAAACCACAAAATGAGACAAAAGAGTCCCCCCCTAAAGTAGCCTTTGATAGCACAAAA